ACCTGGAACAATCTGAAGGATCGAAGCGATGTGCGTTTGCTTCTACGTTATAATCGCCCTGGTCATCCTACTCGTCATTGTGGTCGCATCCATGAACTTAACCCGCAGATGAGCCGAAATCGTAGGAATGGAGTTCAAGTTCGACTAATCCAACTAGTGGAATAAACAATGTTGCTGCCACTTAACCCTTGATTCACTTGTTTTTGCCCTGTAACTATTTTTCGGTATTAGATAGCCGGCAAGTTTTTGGTGTTTTATTACTGTAAACATTTGCATACAAGACTGCTCTCGCCGCTCCTCGCTGGTTACTATAATTAACTGAATATTTATTACTGCGGTAGATAAAATGTTATGCGGCTATTATTTTAGTTTTACGGCCAACCAAGAAGCCAACAAGCCAACAGGCGAACCCGGCTAACTGAGCTTAAGCCTCAGACGGAACATGAACATGGCAGGCCACCAAAGTGGCGGCTCGTACATGAATATGCAATCCGAGCCAAAATGCAACAAAGGCAAAACCCCCTTGGCTTGGCCACGTGGGCCACGCCACCTGAACCACCTCTTAGCCGTCGCCACCTCCATGGATAAATTCAGCCAAGATACACCTAAACCATTGAACAGACGGCGCCAATTAGACCCACGAAAGGATCAGCTTAGGGGGTTTTCAGTGATGATGTAGTGAAAGCAATGGTTGAAAAGCTAATAAAGAAGTTATTTCGGTTCAAGAGAGTTCTTAACTTTTATAAGTCCATGAAATCTATTATATGATATATCTAAAAAATGTACAGATTTGTTTTAAGGGCTTGTACAAAACCTTAACGACTAATCCTAAACCAATAATAATTATATAAATTATTTGCCTTAAAATTATAGAATAATTTATTTTATATAATCTATAAATAACTTCTGGAACCACGAAAGCCGGAATATTTCCAAGTTGGCAACACAGTTTCTGGTATAGAATTCTATGGCGCAAGAGGTGAAACAATCGCTAATTGTTTTAGGACCTTCGCTCCAGATGCGGAGGCAATAAGGTGTGAAATTCCAGACCGGGTTTCGACTTTTCGCTCGCGGCAGAAAACTTTTTAGCCAGCCAAGTGAAAATTACGCATACGCCGCGTTGTCTTACGCCAAATACAGTGGGGGGTGAAAATGAATATAACTCATACGCCACGTACCAGCTGTCGGGTAATTATAATCATTTAATGAAGAGCCCTGTTACGCGAGTTATGAGAGCTTCACTAATATACGAAAATCTCGCGCCCATTCAGAAATTGATCTATAATGATTTAATACACAATGTCTGATTGTTTTGTGGATCCAAATTTAATTGACGTCCATCGCACATGGAAAACAATTTCCCCCAATTTCACACCATGGCTAAAAACTCAATTCGTATTAATTGCGAGTGGATCGCGGTGTTTCGTAATGACAATTTGTCACGCTCGGTTGATCTAATCGGTGTGCTATAAAAGCGGCTAGCGAAACTCAAATGGACAACAGTTAATATCTGAACATTTGAGAAGATGCATCTGAACATGAAATATTTCATTGGTCTGCTGATGGTGCTGCTTTGCAGCACTTTTGCGGTGAGTTGGATTTGATTTCTCTCTAATTTGTAACTAATATTTAAGTGGTATCCCTTCAGGTGGCCTTCCCCCAGGGTCCTTGTGGTCCACCACCAAGTGGCACGCCTCCTTCGGGTCCTCCACCATCGGGTCGTGGACCTGGTGGCCCCTGTGGACCTCCGCCTTCGACCACGGCTTCCTCCGGTTAAATGGGTCCTGATATCCGATTTCCGACTCCGATCCCGCTTCATAAGGCTACGACGCGTCACATAGAAAAATTCCTTAGCTAAGTCTCTTTTTTTTGACAATCAGTTCAATAATATATATATGTGTGTATAAATTGCTAAATTTCAAGTGCTTTTCCTGGGGGGCTCGGATTACAGAGATCTTATATTTTTTTTACATTTATAGATGGTCGTCCTAATAAAAATATTATTTTTTCTTTATATCATTTTGTTCAAATCATCCAGTAATCCAAAAAGTAGCTGTATACATTATTTGCTTTTAATTTTGTTAAAGTTCCATCTCAAAGTATTTTTAAGTAAACTAAACTATTGATATTATGGATCCTTTTTTCCGCAAAGTGGGTGCGAGGTTCACATCAGCGACAATCTCCTCCTTGCATTTGTGATAAAAAGCGTACGCCACTATCCAGAAGTAAATGCTTAGAACTATAAATAAAGATGTAAAAGGATAACAAATATATCCAGACTAAGTTGCTTTGACTTACGAAGACCACAGATGGTCAGGACTATATCAATGATATCTGCATTCCAAACCATAATTTCGGCCACCAAAAAAGCTGGAGAAAGCAAAATGTGTATACAGCTCATGACAAGAAAAATAAATACCAGAGCGGATGTTTTCTGGGGATTAAAAAGGCATAACTAACCAGAATAAAATTAATGAAAAATCTAAATCTTACCAAAAAAGAGGCAACGAACAGCATTAGACAGCCCACGAAGTGCATTATTTCAATAACTCTATATACAACTACGAGGATTCCTTCGAAGGAATCGCAGCAGGGTTCACCGCTTCTCAGGGGGACGGCAAGAAGTTCGAAGAACACCAATATCAGCGCACTGATCATACAACCGACTCGTAGGGAAATCATGAAGCAGCACTTTTTTAAACGGCACCTCATGGTTTTTGATTTTGTTTGACATTTAAAGCAAGGACTGTTTGGCTTAAAAGGCGCGAAAGTATTTTAAAAAGGCTTTTTATGTATAATAAATTATATGATATAGTATGTAACTAGCTTTTAATCAATATAAAACTTGCAGAGCAAAGTAATGAAATTTAAGAATATAAATCAAACCCAAATTCTCTTATTATTCTTGATTTTAAAAAGTATATATATGCATGAATCCCATTTTTCCGCACAAGAAATCCGTGTTTTGGTTGGCAAATCAATTGCATACACGTCTACAAGAATGAGAAAATTGGTCAAATAATAAATTTTCCTAAAAGTGATAAGGATCGTTAGCATATTTAGCAAGCTTCTCAAAACTGTCGGTCCTTTAGCTGTACGCCTTGATTTGACTGAACTACAACGGAAAAACCACTAAAAAATGGGTATTTTTGACCAAAATCTGAATCCCAAAAAAACCCGAGCTACCCCCTTACAAAAAATGAAAAAATTTGTCAAAAAATAAATCTTCCCTAAAATTACGGGGATCGATAGCAATTGAAGAAAGCTGCTCAAAACTGTCGGTCTTTTAGCTGTACGCCTTGATTTGACTGAAATACGATGGAAAAACCACTAAAAATTGAGTTTTTGACCAAAATCAGAATTCCAAAAAAAACCGAGCCCCTACAAAAAAAGAAAAAATTTGTCAAAAAATAAATCTTCCTTAAAATGATAAGGATCGATAGCAATTGAACCAAGCTTCTCAAAACTGTCGGTCCTTTAGCTGTACGCCTTGATTTGACTGAACTACAACGGGAAAACCACTACAACATGGGTATTTTTGACCAAAATCTGAATCCCAAAAAAACCCGAGCTACCCCCTTACAAAAAATGATAAAATTTTTCAAAAAATAAATCTTCCCTAAAATTATGGGGATCCATAGCAATTGAAGAAAGCTGCTCAAAACTGTCGGTCTTTTAGCTGTACGCCTTGATTTGACTGAACTACGATGGAAAAACCACTAAAAATGGAGTTTTTGACCAAAATCTGAATTCCAAAAAAAACCGAGCCCCTACAAAAAAAGAAAAAATTTGTCAAAAAATAAATCTTCCTTAAAATGATAAGGATCGATAGCAATTGAACCAAGCTTCTCAAAACTGTCGGTCCTTTAGCTGTACGCCTTGATTTGACTGAACTACAACGGAAAAACCACTACAACATGGGTATTTTTGACCAAAATCTGAATCCCAAAAAAACCCGAGCTACCCCCTTACAAAAAATGATAAAATTTGTCAAAAAATAAATCTTCCCTAAAATTATGGGGATCGATAGCAATTGAACCAAGCTTCTCAAAACTGTCGGTCTTTTAGCTGTACGCCTTGATTTGACTGAACTACAATGGAAAAACCACTAAAAAATGGGTATTTTTTTCACCAAAATCTGAATCCCAAAAAAAAACCGAGCTACCCCCTTACAAAAATTGAAAAAATGTGTCAAAAAATAAATCTTCCTTAAAATGATATGGATCGATAGCATTTGTAGCAAGCTGCTCAAAACAGTCGGTCTTTTAGCTATGCGCCTTGATTTGGCTAAACTACGACTGAAAAACCACTAAAAAATGAGTATTTTTGACCAAAATCTGAATCCCAAAAAAAACCGAGCTACCCCCTTACAAAAAATGAAAAAATTATAAGTTCTTTGTTATTCGACATATTTATATTTATTTCCTAATATAATTACTTTAATATTTCAGAATTTCAAACAAAATTGATTAAAAACGGAAGACTTTATCATATATGTAGCTGCCATAGGAACGACCAGATAATTAATTAAAATCAAAATAATACAAAAACCGTTATTTTTCGTTTTCGGTAAACACACGCTAGTAAATTGAAATTTCTTTTATTATTTTTTAGTTTTCTGAAAATCGGAAAGCTCTGTACATACAATGTTCCCACGAGAACGACCTGCAAGGGTCAACCAAAACTTCAATTCTTAAGATAATTAGACTTAAACCAAATTCAATCGGGCTGATTAGCAACAGCAACACCAGAAACCCCCTTGCGAAGATGCCATTGGAATCGAACACTTTTCGGATATCTACCATCGGTCAGCAATAATCCTTGAAGTCACTGAAAACCATCCATCAAGTTATCAAACCAGGCAGAAGATTAGGAAAAGTCACTTAAGGGATTACTTTGGAGAATCGTAACAGATATAATAAGTGTGCCCAGACTTGCTAAGGGATTATCAACTCGCAGTAATCTGGCAACACTGATTCTGGCAAATCCTAATGGTGTGCGTCCACACTAAGTGTCTGTCAAAAATCGGTCAAGATATTGAATGCCAAAACTATTTTCTCGGAACTGAAAATTGGTTTCCACTGAAAGTAAGCGCATTAAAACTTTAATAAACCCTAATTAACCTATTTGGGGTGTTGGATCAAGGTGCTAAGTGGTTTTCAGCAGCGGTAAGGATCACCGAGACGACGTTTTAAAAAAAATCAGCCAGCAAAAACTTTGCACACGTGAACAATATGGCCGACATGCCCGACTTAGAGAATGATATCTCCTTCAACCAGAAGGGGGAAAATGATGCACCAATGGAGGCCGGGATTCCAATAACGACCATAGCCACCGGGTCCGAGAAGCGCGGAACTGCAGCTCCAGAGTCGGCGGCTACCTCCGGCAAGGGTGAAAAGCCGGAGATCGAGGCGGAACCGCCTTCGAACACCTATGTGAAGGGCCTGCAGAAGGACTCCAAGGGTGAGGAATCCCCCAAGAAAATCGACGCAGATCAGCAGGTTAGTGTTACGCCTGTCATTAAAACAATGCAACTCTGACGACCAGGTGTCCTCCGAACAGGGACAGTCGGCGGTGGGCCGTGAGCAGAGGGAAGAATCACCATCTGAATCTTTTCGCCAATCCGGGGATCAGATTAACGTCCGTCAGCTGGGCGGAGTCATGGGCCTGGAGGAAGAAGCTTCACCCGAAGCTCTTCGCCAATCCGAGGAGGAACAGAAACAGTCTAAAGCAAATTCCTTGCTAAAGCGCGGTTCCCAGGATACGGTAGATGATACGTTCGCTCCACAGGCTAAGAAGCCAAATCTTTTGAAAACACAAGACGTGGACCAGGAGATCTAAAACTATTCTCCAAACCAGGTCATTACGTCACTACGCGGCTCCTGCTTACCCTGCCAAAGATGTAGCTCGCTCTCAAACTTAAACTATGCCTACTACTCACGTTACGTTACAAAAACACTACAATGCGGACAATTCTAAACTTAATTCATTGAATTAGATATTTGTCTTTAATATAAATAAACATACATCATAACAAACCAATTAAGTACATAATGATTGCTCGGAACAACTAATTGATATCTACAAAAAATGGGTAAATTGGTTAGAATACAAATGTTCCCCAAAGTGATGGGGATCGTTAGCTTTGGTATCAAGCTACTCAAAACAGTCGCTCGTTAGGCTTGATTTGGCCAAACCACGCTTAAATAACCGCAAGATAAAATTTAATTTTTAATTTAAGTCTAAGTCCTACTTTTCGCCTTAAAAAATCTGTGTGTTGGAACATATGGAAGCTATAATGTCCCTGAATCAAACTCGACATACCTTGCCCACATATATTTTAAAATATATACACAGTAGTCCATATGTTCAGGAAGGGAATTTTGATTTAATCCATATATTTTCAGCTCCAAGTATGTCACCATTTTTCGTCTGCATCAATTTTTCCGCTCTGCGTCGCAATTTTCCCGCTGGAGCTTTGGTATTCCCCAGTCAATATGCAACTGGCTGATGAGGAATTCGCCTGGCTTTCCGCCATCCATCCTCCCATTATCCGACCCAGCCCGCTCATCTATTTTGCATATTTTCCGAACTTTGGCTAGTTGCTTGTACAATGAGTAAAAGTAAAATTTCGCAGACTTTTCGAGACTGTAAAATATTACACCACCCCCGCCGAAGCACCCGCCAGTCGATATTAAAAAAGATAAAGTTTTATTAGTTGTGCGGTGAAAATGGGCGTGGATTGTGAGGGGAGGCGAGGCGAGATATAATAAAAGTAATAAAAGAAAATATGCAACACACACAAACACAAATGAAGATGCAGATGAAGTTGAAATGTAAATTTCGTCCGAATGGAAAGTTCCGTTTCAATGATTGCAAACGGAAGCGGAAAATGCCACCCACCAATCTCCAGCCCAATTCCCTCTTGGGGAATGAATGGCAAATGAAACGCAAGTAAATACGATAAATAAATGTTTAAATAAATAAGTAAATAAATATGTGGACAGTCGGCAACAGGAATCGGGCACAAAAATGCTGGCCAAAAGGGACTGAGGGGGCCAAAAAGTCCAAATGTAATAATTAAATTGCATTTTGCGTCTGCGGCCAAACAAAATGGCGGCCAAAGTTCGAATAACTGAGTGTATGTGCGGTCATAAATGTGGGGATATAAGTCAGGACCTCCTATATACCCTATAAAAATATATATTTATTATTTGTGAATTTTACTAAGCCATAAGAATCAAAAAAGGGAGCAAAAATGGCAAAATTGTCATGAAAATGGGAGGTCTGCTATGAAATACACCGAAATAAGGTACAAAATATTTTCTAAATATTATAACAGTGACAAAAATAAGACAATAATGGTGTATATATGCTGTTAAACTCTTTAGTTAGTCCATCCAAAATTCCCCTGATGCCCAGTATAAATATTTATATGCCTTGCCCGCAATCATTGGTTCATATAAACAAACCCACACGAGTGTGCAATTATTTTTTTCCTTCTGATTTTTCACTCTGTCCTTATTTCTTTCTCCAGATTCCATTCCTCGTAATTTACAATATTATGGCCCTCAGTGGCGCTGATTGTGTGCATCAATTGCCGGCTTTCGTGTATGGGAAAAGGCTTAAATTTATTTATCATTCAATTAAATATTTAAAATACCAAAAAATGCTTTCACCGCCGGCCAACTTATTTAAATTTCCACGCCCACACACACATACACCGCACACCTTTAATATTGAAATTGAAATCATAAATAAATGAGAAAATTTGCGTTGGTTGGCCAACCCGAGTTTTCCACGGGAAAATGCGGTGGGGTAGGGGGGTTTGGTGGAAAATTGTGGGCGGCTTGTTTATTTTTGCCGCGTATGCGTAATGTGTGCAAGTGCGATTCGCATTCGCTGTAAATTTTATTGTTATATGTATATATTTATGCCCACATATGTGCACTTTTTTCCCGTGTATTTTTCCAGCATCGCTGCAATGTTTGTAAAATTAATTGACATTTTATTTGTTAATTAATTGTTATGGCCGGGTGTTGTTGCTGTTTGTGCTTTTGTTTGGTTGGCCTGGCCGAGAGTTCACAGTTTTTGGCCCGGTTCAAAATGGCCAAATGACCAAATGGCCAAATGGCTTTTCATTATTGTTATTACAAATGCCGCGGTCATTATTATTTGCTCGTTAAGCGCACCTCGGCAGCACCCCCTTTGTTCAAATGCAATGCATTTGTAATTTAGTTTTGTAGTTTTAATTGCAAAAATTGTTAATTTTCTGATAATTTATTTATGCATTTATTTATGTTTAGCCGCGGAATACAATTGGATAAATTGGAAAATTTTGTGCGGGGGTCTTGAGCTTTAAGTTCTATAGAGAACATTCATTATCTTCTTATGATAGTAAATTATTTAGTATTTTATGTGAATATAGTATACATAGGATTGATTTTTAAGGACTTGGAAACTTTTGTCAACTTGTTAAGATCTATAAAGATGAATTATGTTTTAAAACTCGGTCACAGAGAAGTGAAAAATACATATCCTGTAAGAAAACAGAAATATCCTAGGCAGCAATCCCGGACAAGGCGAACCATCAATTTTTACAACTTTAAATACCAGCAGGAAGTAACTTAGGAATTCAGGATCAGCTCCCCTAGAGCAACATTTCGAATGGCAATAAGAAAAAAGTCATAACAAAATTTTACGACAACTTTGGCGGCGTTTTCATTTCGCTGTTGGTCCGCCTAAAGAAAAAAAATGGAATGGAGATGGGTTTTTTTTGGGGGATACGGGATTCGGGATTCGGGATACGGATAGATATAGATGGACTGAACTGGATGCAAAATGCAAAACAAAGGGAAAATTACCGAAACACCAGAAGAAGCGGCGTATTCTAATGGCCGCCATCCCGCTGGGTTCGTTCTTTTTATATTTTCTTCGCCTCAGAGAGTGGGGCATATAATAATCATCTATATTCATGGATTAGGATTCAATTTTTATGCCACACGCGAGAAGGTGAAATGGAAAACCTGGGCGAGAACAATGAGGGTTAAATTGAAAATAAAGCGTTACCCGAAGAGGAGAAGACACGGATACCAAAAAATGTGTGCGGCGGAGTGGGGAAATTATTCAAAAATTTATGCAAGAAAATATTACCAAAGAGCTAATAATTTTCTCCATCCATCGTTCCCGAAAAGGTGGCAAAAGCGCCGCGTGGGGGCCGCCAGGGGGTGGTGGGTGGTTGGGTGGCTTGGGTGGGTTTTTCCTTACCCCGGGTTTTGTATTAATGAATAATATCGCGGCTAAGGCGAAGGCAAAACGCGTTCCTCTCTTTTTCATATTTTTTTTTTGTGGCACGCCACAGGGGTTAATAAGTAATCTGCATTTTTTGACATTTATTTATGTCTTCAAATATGTGCGAGGAGTCGTTGTTTCTCTTTTTATCGCGGGGCCAAAGAGCAAGGGAAATCTAACAGCTGTTCAAAGTGTCATTAGAGCGAAATATGCCCGCGATGTGGCCCCATCCTTAAATTTCATCTCCTCGGAAAATGAGAATTGTAAGTAAGGATATACATATACTTATCTGAGGTCCTCCTCAATCTTTATTGTTTCCATTTGATTAGCAGGGAATACAATAGGCCAAGGAATTACAAAGAATATTTGAAATATATAACTTTATATTACAGGTTCAGATATATATAAGATTTAGATATTTCAAAAATATATTTTTTTATAAATAAATCTAATATAATTATTTTACTAAGCCCCAACAAATATTTATTTATGCAACATGCCCAGTTTTATTCGTTTTCATTTGATTATCAGAGAATATAAAGCCTTGGGCCTTGGAGGAACTTTATAAGGAAAGTACTTCCTATTGAAAGTTCATATATCTCTAAAATTCTTTTAAAAAAATTACTTAATATATATTCATCATTTAGATTAGCTGGGAATATTAGGTAATGATGTTATACAAATTCTACTTTCTGTTAAAAGCATAATAAAATAGCTAAAACAAACTAAATAGATATAGTGGTTTTAATAAATACAAACAAATATTAACGTGTATATGAATATACATAGTTATTCAGATCATAAAAGCTTAGCATACATTGTAGTAATGGGCGTATATAGCCAGTGGGCGTGACATCGGACCTTAGTTACCTACGTGTCTGCACAAATCTATATTTACGATTATGGAAGTTTATGGATGTGGCTTCCCTGACGTTTTAGTGTCATTCTGCGTTGGGCTGTAAAGGGCGTACGAAAAGGGGGGTTGGGGTGGTGTTTAGGGGGTGGAGCAGTCCTAATGACAAATGCCTATATGAAATGGTCACACACGCAAGGACCTTCCCCTTCCACGCCTTTTGCTTTCGCCGGCTCTGGTGAAAGTGAAATTGTCATAAAAAGTGAAAGGCAACTGGGGAACTTGAGGGGGAGGTGGGGTTTCGGGGGGCGATTGTGGGTGGTTTTCACATGTCAAGGTAATTTGGGCGCACTTTTTGCACTCTCCTCGTTTTATGGGCGAATTCAAATAGTTCTTTGGGCCACGCCCACACGCACACACATATGTAATTACTTAGTTTATTATATTGCAAGTATCCAAGTGGACCAGCCAACTACGCCACTGTAAGCCCCCCTTCTAACTATTTTTTTTTTCGGTACCCCCCGCTTGAAAGGCCCTTCCCTCTTTTATAGTTTGGCAAATCGTAAAAACTTTTACAACATTTACATGCAAGGCGAAATTTAGGGGTGGGGGAATAGTGTTGAGGAGGGGCGGCAGGGTTGCCCTGTGTGCCAGAGTTGTCGCCGCAAAAGTTTGCACTACAGTTGCGCTCTCTATTTGTCTTTTTCCTCCAGTTTTAGCCACCACCATCCCACATTTTCCCGGCAATTTTCCGCCCACTTTTCCACAGACGATGCTTTTTCAATTACTCAGGTCTGGCCCCTTGGAAAACCCGCCCCTTGGCCAATTGAGTCGCCACTTAAGTCGCCTGACCAAAAAATCATTAACTATTTT